AGAATGCATCCACACTAACAGCTCTTGCAGTGACACAGAGAGCAGTGCACTGTGGTAGCTATCCCACTATGCAACTGGCCGCAGGGGGCTTTGGGAAGGGTTTGCAATGCCTCATGAGACAGGTATAGCATCACATGATGCAGGTTTCTCAATCCCATCACTCAAGGGGCATCCTAGCAGATTGTCAGTGGCTTTTCAACTGAAGGGTGTGATGAGAGGGAGAGGAGAGCGGTGTGTCTGGACAGGGGAGAAAGCAGGCTGACTGACCTGTCCTGAGGCGGGGGAGGGGGACAGAGGAAACCCAGGCACCCATGACCCAAAGCAGAATAAGGCCACCCTGTCTGAATACAACAAACCAGAGTCTCACCTGGAGCTGCACACGGGTCATTTTAAAATAAAACTCATCAGGATTTTTCTCCAGAGCTTTCTTGCGAAGTGCTTTGAGCACATTCTGTTTCTTGTGATAGTCACTGAAAAACAAGCCAATATATTTAACACCGCCTGCATTCATATGTGCACACACATCAAATGAAACACTAAATACTCAATAATGATGCTAAATTTGCAGCAGCAAAAAAGGCATTACAAATAGAACCAGAAACCCGCAGACCATTTATCCACTGGATTTATTCCTTTCAGCAAGCTGCCAACATGATCATCTCCACATGTTCAGTGGCAAAATAGCAGCTTTGCCTCCCTCACCCCAACTCAAGTCTCGCTGAGACCAGAACCCGCAGACCTGCAAGAAGCTCAGCCACTAACTCCATCAAAGAAAGGGGTTTTTGGGGGGGGGTTTAAGTGTGGTGGTAGTCACAAGAGTGACTGTAATAGTGGGATCTTCTCCATCCATCTCTCCGCTCTCTTAAATCTCAACACTACAGACACTCAAGTATTCACATATGGACACAAACGGGAAGTCCTATTGAGGTCGAGGAGGATACTCGGGTGAGTAAAGCGAGGCACGTGCTTAGCTGTTTGCAGGAGCAGGGCCTCACGGAAGTCACAGGGCAACACGTGTACTCGTGTTCCTGTCTCCCGAGAGCGTGAGGCGGCTGCACGGGCGGTGAGAGGGGGGGCGGCCAGACAGGCCGGTCCCTCGCCAGCCCCCGCCCGGTGAACGCGGCCCGCCTCGGGCGGAGCGGGACTCACTCGGCTCGGCGCTTGTAATCCTGCTTCTTCTCCAGGAGGCCCAGCTGCCTGCGGGACCGGGGCTGGGAAAGCAAAGCGAGAACCGGGGCTGAGCGAGGGGCGCGGGG